CCTAAGTTTAATATAAAAGTAATTCAGTGCAAGATTAAAACTCTTCTTGATTTAAAACTATTTCTTTCAGACACAAACAACCAAGTTTTTTTTATTCATGTTCTGATAACAAGACCTGTGGCTTTCTATTAAAATTAATATTTTTAAGTGTAATTTTTGTATTGTATTTATAAAATTTATACGAACCAAAAGATAAATTTAAAATTCACCTAACAGTCTAGTATTTTTTTAATATAAAACAAAAACTATAAAATTTAGAATGGGATTCTAATTTTGGACATATAATCCAAGAGAAAATTTTGTACACATCCAGAAATACTTGCTTCAGTAATAAAACATACAACTATTCTATGAAAAATATTAATAAAAAAAAATTTATTTTGCTCATTGCCTAAATGTATGACAGAAAAAGTGATTTTGATGTTTAAAAAGAAAAATTTCTGAATGCCAAAGTAAATCTTGATCTCCAAAAAACAAAATAAAAATGTATAACTTCTATGTTGCCAATTTTATAATTGCAAAAAATTAAACACCTGAGACTAAAACTTGAAATTTCTTGCATACTGTCTCAACAAATTTATTTTCCACATTTAAACTAACATATAACATTTGGAATAATTTCTTATGTAATACTGCACCTCGTGCCCAAATTCATAAGTTTTTGATCAACCTTATACTATTTTCGTTCACAGGCAACAAATGAATGTTACATTTTGTAACAACAGAAACCATGTTTCCACAGAATGAGGACAACTATATGTCACTAGTGGCACATATATAAATATATACACACACGTACACAGCTTTTGAGTAGGGACAGCGGGTACAGCATCAAATCTTTAAACCCCTTTGTGTACATTCCTTCACAGGATGACTTATTCATCACAGTAGAAACAATTTTGTAGGGCTATGTTCAGTAGCTTGAAATGTTTTGGTTCACATTGGACAGTGGTGGGATTCAGCCGGTTCTTGCGAACCTGTTCTTAGAATTTAATGACCTCCACGAGCCGGTTGTTAACAATCGTATGTATAGGCCTAATAATAACGTTACAACTTACAAGTACGCGTGTTTACAACGCAACTTTACTAGCAGGCTAGGCGGACTAGGTCTACTAGATCTCTGATGAATGATTTGCCAGCAGGTAAGTGTTTTTTTATACAGATTCTTATGATCTTATCTAAATTATTATTATTATTAGATCTAACTTAGTTATATCATCTACTATAGGCCAAGCGTCCTAGGCCTACGTGCAAGTGCAAATCTGTGCTGAATTATTAGCCAGCGGGTGAACGCTTTTTCTACAGATTCTTATCTAAATAATTACGTTAATCTATTATTATTATTATTATACCTAAGGTTAGATCATCTATATACATAGCTCTAGGCCCCGAGATCTATATAATTAATATACCTTATACAGCTATGAAAATTGAAATGTTATGCTGATAATTGGCAAGCACGAAATTGCATTAGAAAATATTTTTCCCCAATAATTTATAAAATTTGTTAGATGATAGAGATATCATCCATGCATTAGTTTAATACATTTTTAAATTTTTAAGAAATATAAATTTTTGTGTTTTC